CCCGGAAAGGCCTCTTGGGCTCCTGGGGGCGTTCTTGCGCGGTTTAGGCGTCTCGTGGGCCGTCTTGGCCCCCTCGTGGGCCGTATGAAAAAATGATAAAAGGAAAAGAACTAAGAAATAAAAAAAAAAAAAAAAAATAAATTACAAATTAAAAAAAAAAATATAAAAGAAAATAAAAAAAAAAAATAATTCAAATTTAACAAGTAAAAAATAATAAGAAATATAGAAATTAACAAAATAAAAACATATATAAGATAAAGGGCCCTCTGGGGCATCCTCGACCTGGCTGGGTCCTCCTGGCCTTCTTGGCAAACACGCCAAAAATCAGTTTTCCCATAGGAAATCGAACGATTTTGCTTATGGGGCCCTCTCGGGGTGCCTATTGGGGCGTCGTCGGAACTTCTTTTGCTGTTTTTTGGTCTCATGGGGCCTCTTGGGGCTTCTGGGCTCCCTTCTTGTAGCCTCTGGGTCTCCGGGGGTCTCTTGGGCCAAAAGGCTAGAATGTTCAGTTTCCTCGTCCCCGTCTTGGGGGCCGCCTTGGGCGTTATTGGGCCTATTGGGGCGGTTTGGGCGCCTCGTAGGCCGTCTTGGCCCCCTCGTGGGCCGTCTTGGGGCCCTCTCGGGGGCATCCTCGACCGGCTTGGGTGCCTCTTGGGCCGTCTTGGATGCAGTGGACGCCCACAAGGAAAACACGCCAAAAATATAAGTTCTCCCATAGGAAATCTGCGATGTTTGCTTATTGGGCTCTCTCGGTGTGCCTCTTGGGGCGTCTTCGGGGCGTTCGGGGGCCTTCTTGGCGTCATGGGAGTCGTCTTGGAAAGCGTCTGGAGCCATCGCTGCGGCCTCCTGGGGCCTCCCTGCAGCCTCTTGGGGCCCTGTTGGCCCCAGGCCGCCGAAACCCCGTTAAAACACAAGGACAACGACGCCCGGCACCCCCATGCCCTGTCGAGGCCGCGATCCCGGGTCCCCGGGCCTCGTGCACGGTATATATGTATACATGTATACATATACATATACATATATATATATATATGTATATGTATATGTATACATGTATATATGTATATGTATGTATGTATGTATGTATATATGTATATATGTATATGTATATGTATATGTATATGTATATGTATGTATATTCGATTACTTCGTGAACCACGTAACGGCAAGCGAACACAAGGCGTGAGCAGAAGCGGAGAGCTCGAGTTACGGGGCGGACAGATCCGGCCCCACTTGTCGTTTGCTGAATTCATTCGCGTACACAGATGCCGGAGGTCTGCGGACCCCCCAGGGCATCCGACAAAAGAGACTGCGGAAGCGTGCCTGGCAATATGGCCTGCCCCCCCAAAATGTGTTGAAATTTGCCAGGGCTCGGCGCATGAGTCGGGGATGGACAGACCCCCCTTCAGTGAAACGTGGTTCAGTGAAGACGACCTGGGGCCCAAACCTGGCGGGCGCCAGCCTGGAAAATCACGGCCACGGCGCCCTCTCAAAAACCGAAAACGGACAATTCACTAATCGACGTGTCACCCTGACCTTCCAGGAGGGCTAGAAAATAGCACGCGACTTAAAAAACCTATCCCAGAGCTATTCTGTGTCTTGGTTTTAGGCTGTTTCGTTTAGTTGTTTTTTATGTGTTTAGGCCTCCCAGGCTAAAATATAGCTCTCTGAAGGTCAGGGCACTGTTGGGGGTGCTGTCCACCCCCGAATTAGATCAGATTTATACTGCCGCACCCGGGAGCGGACGGCTCGCCCGGGGTGCGGGGCGTGTGGCGCCCGTGGCCTCGGCCACGTGGGCAGCAGGTGCCGACGCTGCCCCCCAAAGCACTCCTGTTTCCGAGGCCCTCGGCGCCATGATTCGCGACGTGGCGGCCCTGAGGTCTGGCCCCCCCTGGCCCAATAGCAAGCGACTTACAAACCTATCCCAGAGATGCTCTATGTCTTGGTTTTAGGCTGTTCCCTTTCGTGTTTTAGGTTTTGAGGCCTCCCGTGCTAAAAAATAGCTCTCTGGAAGGTCAGGGCAAAGGCTGTCTTTCCCCGATCATAGTGCTTGCGCTGAAGGGGTCCTCTAGCGGAAGTTGAAAGATTCGGGTCGGGCGAAAGGGGGGGATAGCAAAGGGGGGCTTTGAGAATCAGCTCACGTAGCTGATTTTCCCGGCGCCTCCCGGCGCCGGAGGCGCCCATGTATCGAGGAATGGGCCCCTCGGTGAGGCCGAAACCAGCTGCATGCAGCAGATTTCGTAACACCCCCATTCCCAATCCCCCCCCCCCATTCGCCCGGCCCGAAAAATTTGGCAACAACTTCCCGCCGATGTTTGTAGCAGGCTGGGTTCCCGGGTTCCCGGGTTCCAGGTTATATTGGTTCCGGGCCGACTTCGGTGGGTTCTGGGTTCCCGGGCTCCCGGGCCCCCGGTCGATCGCCTCAGCGAGAACCATCCACTGTTTGGGGTTCTTCTCTGGTGGAGTTATATTCCGAACCTTCCCTGACCTTCCAGGAGGGCTAAAACATAGCACGCGACTTCAAAACCTAGCCCAGAGCTACTATGTCTTGGTATTGGGCTGTTTCGCTTCGTTTATGTATATATATATACACATACATACAAATATAAAAAAAGGCCTCCCGTGCTAAGACATAGCTCTCTGGAAGGTCAGGGGTGTTGCTGGACTTCGGCTGTGTTTCCGCTTTTCGTTTTTGGCAGGGAGGCACAGGTAGAGCAAAACGAAAAACAATGCAAAAACACAACGAAACACGACGTTTAGGTCCTGCCCTGGAGAAATGGGAGGGGGGAAGGGGGGCGGATGAGCGAGGAAGGGGAGGAAATGGGAGGGGCGGATGGGTGAGGAAGGCGAGGTTTTAGGCTGTTTCGTTTCGTGTTTTTTGTTTTTAACATAAAAACAAGTGTTAGGCCTCCCGTGCTAAAAGATAGCTCTCTGGAAGGTCAGGGTTTGTCTGGCCGTGAGAGGGTCCTCTCTGGTGCAATTCCATTCCGAACCTTTTGAAGGGGCCCCAGGACACGCAAATAAATACACACAAATAAAAACAATTCCCCGGATTTTCCCCATATGTTCTGGGTTTCTGTCTTCCCCCCCACTTCCAAGATTTTCCCGTATTTTCTAAGGAATCGAGGATTCATTGTGTCTGTGGATTTTCCTCTCCTGACCCTTGTCTGACCGTGAGAGGGTCCCAGGGCCGCAGGCCGGGGCCCACAGGGGCTGGGAACCGCCAGAGCACACGTAGCTTTTTCACGAAACACACGGGGGGCTGGAGCCCCTCCTCCTCCTCCTCCTCCTCCTCCTCCTCATCCTCCTCCTCCTCCTCCTCCTCCTCCTCCTCCCCCTCCTCCTCCTCCTCCTCCTCCTCCTCCTCCTACCCCCTCCCCCTCACCCTCACCCCTCCCCTCCCTCCCCTCCTCCTCCTCCTCCTCCTCCTCCTCCTCCTCCTCCTCCTCCTCCGCCTCCTCCTCCTCCTCTCCTCCTCCTCCTCCTCCTCGTTCTCCTTCTCCTCCTAGACTCGACATTGCGGGCAGGTTCGATCCTTCCCACCGACAGAACGGAAAAAAACAACAAGGCGGAAACCGACCCCTTTCGACTGAAAGGGGTCGGCTTTAAAAGCCAAGCGAATTACGCTTCCACGCCCTCCACCAGCCGCACCTCAGCGGTGGCGGCAGCGGCAGCAGCAGCACGGGCGGTGGCAGCAAGGGCGGCGCCGAGCCGCTGCCGCCGCAGGCCTGCTGCAGCATCATCTTCCTGAGACGCTGGCGAGCCTGCGGGCGCGATCGGGCCTGCGGGCGCTGGCGAGACAGGGCCAGCTCCGCCAGCCCTGATGAGACGACCTGTCTCCCAGGCCTGGCGCAAAGGGTGCCAGGCCTTGTTGATCTGATACCTCCCCGCCGCCAGCCCCCTCAACACCCTCCCGCCCCACGAGGAAGGGAGAGGAGGCCCAGGGCAGGGGCGTGAAAGGGCCAGCACCGTGCCTGGCCCACTCGCTCCACACACGGCACAAGCGACGCACCACTGACGTGTGTCGGCAAGCTGGAAAGGATGAACGATGTGTTGCCTGCCGCCCCCGAGCGCAACTCTGGCATGCCCAAGATCGGCAGAGAGCATGCAAGGAGGCGAGATGAGGGGGGGAGGCGGCAGGACGAACAGCGGCGAGGCGCGGGGTTTCGCCTCGCGCCGCTGGGAGACATGAAGGGAGTCGATCGCCACCATGCTGGGCCCAACTTTGGCCACCCAGGTAGCGAGCTCTGACAAGACCTGCGCGCGAGCTTCCACGGGTGCCCGAACCGAGCTGGGAAGGCGCGAGAATTCGGAGGCCTGCTTCGCATATTCGTCAGCGAGATCATTCCCCGCCTTGTGAAAGGCCGAAACTCGGCCGCTCTCGACGGCAGCACGCGTGGCATGTCCCTTGACCTTGACCAGGTCGAAGCCCCCCACTCCTCCCCAGTCCGCAATCTTTTGCCACACCATGCGCCAAAGCTCAGCCCAGGCACTTTTCGCGCAGCAAGTTTTTTCTGGGCCGCGCTCGAGCACACCGTCCACAACGAAGCCAGAATCGCTGTAAAAAGTTGTGCCTGGCAGCGAGAAGCACAGGCCCTGCAAGAACGCCCAAAGCTCGAGGGCATCAATATCCGCAGCGGGATGCTGAAAAGAGCCAGCAAAGATGGCCACGGCACGATACGAGTCCTGGGAAACCTGAACACAGGACCAGCCGAGGCCCTGCTGGGCCAGCGACAAGAAGCCGTCGCGCAAACTGCCGTCCAGAAAAACATGGCCCTGCAGAAAACCACCCCCGAGAAGCCAGAGCCCTGGAGGCCGAGGAGCGGGGTCCAGGACGGGCAACGGCACTAGGAGCCGCTCGGCTAACAGTCGAGGCAGCTCGTCCACGCATGCCTGCGCAAGCCGGCCTGCGAAGGACGGTGGCGAGGCTCCGCACGCCTCCTCCTGATACTGACATGACAGGTGGCGGTGCGACAGCGTGCCAGGAGCCTCACGACACGCTAAACAAAAAGACTGTTCCGAGAGATTGGCGTCATGCTGGCGCTGCTGAGGCCACTGACCGCCTGAGACGACACTGCGAAGATATGCTGCTCCCTGGGGGCTGACCTTTTTGCTGCGGGCAACCTTCAGGACGGGATACAAAAGGGCCCCTTGGGCAAACTCTGGACACTCCAAGTGGTCAGCCACCCTTTTCCAAATCCACTCCCCCACCAACCGATCGAAGATCGACCCCAGAGTGCGAGGGGAGAGGTCGAGAGGAGAGAAGTCCCCGATCGACGGGTGGTGCCACTGGAGGCCCTGCATGCTGATACCTAGCCTCAACGCTGAGGCTACACACGCACTGAAAGGGCCTCGGATGCTCTGCCATGGGGAGGTGTGTTGCGAAAGCCTACCCCAGGCTTCCTTGACCCCGCTGCGAAGGATGGAGAGAGGCATCCAGGAGTCCCAAACGGCGGAGGCCAGGGCCATCAAGGGGCCCTTGCACAGCTTGTAGGCAGGGTCGACCTTTTCAACATCCGAGAGCTGCAGCATGAGAGAAATGGAGCGCCCGTCGACACGGGCAGACTCGACCTGCGCCTGCTGATGCCGAGCCTCTCGCAGCTCTGTGTTATTAGTGCCTAGGACCTGATGTCCGTAAGACACAGAAGACAGAATAGCAGACTGGACCATGTGGTGCAGTTGCTTACGCTTCAACTGGCGGCCGAACGTGAGCAGCTTACCGTGCCGAGCGCGTGCAGGGGGCATCCTTTCGTGCCTGACTTGGCGTGCAGCTACCCTACCACCGGAGAAATCGATGCCTAGATTGCGCTCGGCGGCGACTCCCTGAATCGTGAGGCGCTTTAGCCGCGCCTGGAGCTTGAGACGCAGATCCACAGACGAGGCCACAAACTTGCTCTTAGATCGCTTAATGCAAAGGTCGACCTTAGCTAACTCGGCGTGCACAAGTTCGGCGGCGCCCGAGAGATTTTTAATTACGTGCTCCTCCCGACCACATAGATGCAGCCCAAAGTCGTCCACCACCACCCCCCTTTCGACGGTCGGGAAGGCACGACTGACGACATCTAACGGCTGAAGCAGAACCAGCTGCAGCATGAGCGTGGCGAAGTGACAACCTGGGATAACGGCCTGCAGCGTGTGTATGAACTCCGACGCTCTGCCATCTAGATCAAGAATGCGGGGAGCACGATAGAGCTGAATTAGAAGTTTCAGCTGACGCAAAGGGAAGTTGGTGGCGATCGCAGCCGCCAGCAGTCTGGCATGCGGAACCTGCTCGAAAGCTTTCTCCTCTCCTTCTCCTCCTCCTCCTCCTCCTCCTCCTCCTCCTCCTCCTCCTCCTCTC